GGCCCCAAGACGGCCCAAGAGGCCTCCAACACGCCCAAGATGGCCTCCAAGACGCCCAAGATGGCCTCCAAGACGGCCCTGGAGCGCCCCAAGAGGGTCCCCCGTTGGCCCAGAAAGGCCCCCAAAACGGCTCCCGACGGCGTCAGACGTGCCAGGAACCCACCAAGATGGCCGAAGTTGGCTCGAAGCTGGCCCAAAAGGGCCCAAGAGGCCCCCAAGAGGGCCTCCAGGAAGGCCAAAAGATGCCAAAATCACTGATGTTCCAAGGGTTTTTGATGGATTTGGGCATTTCCCTTCTTTCGGCCTTCCGACGGCCCGAGACGGCCCAAGAGCCCCCAAAGATCGCCGAAAGATCGCCCAAGAGGCCTCCAAGACGGCGACGATGACCATCAAGACGCCCACGTGTTCCCCGAAGGCTTTCCAAACCGATTCGGGGAACACATGGTCCGATGGCTTGGCAGGTCTGGCCTCAACGTTCGGCCACATAGGCGCTTCCACAAAGACAGGGGGCGGCGGTGATTCGCCGTAGGCGTCTTCGATAACATTCATCGAGTGTTTTGACAGATGCCATTCGTCTGTATACGCGGGCTCTCGCTCGATTCCCCATGCGTGCACGGCGAATACTGAGAATGTCAGCCCAAGAGGCCCCGAAGAGGCCCCCCTGAAGCCCCAAAAGAGCTCCAAGAAACCCCCCAACAAGCGCACAAGAGGCCATCAGGAGGACAAATGACTTGTTGCTCGCATCTTGATCGCTCACCTTCTTCACCAAATGGCAATCCTTGCCGCGATTATACTCATTCGGTAATAAGCAGTTCCGCTCGTATTACTGTTATCTCTCCATCCCCCCTCTCACGTGGGAAGGTTGAGGGTGTCTGTGTGTATGTTGTGCGCGTGGCTTCCTGTTTGGGCGGCAGGGCGGGCGATCGCAACACCGCCCTGTAATGGCCCATGCCTCTTGCAAACAACCACGCAACATGGCCCGCTTGTTGAAACCACGTGGCCGACGGGAGCTGCAGAGAGCTCCGCACCTGTAAATGTCAGAAACCACTCACTGCGATCAGAAACATGTATCCAGCTGCTGGCAGATACAGCGCCGAGGTAGCATCGAGTCGCCAGTGCGCTGTTGCAATCATCGTCCGGTGCTGCTAGTTCTCTGAAGGTGCGATTGTGGATCGGTGGTGGATTTGGAGGCGAGGAGGTAGCGTTCAAGAGGTGCAGCGCGACATTACGGCAGTCTAACATTTACAGCTGCTACGGCCCAGGGCCAGGCTTGGCCCCTCATCACGTCATCTCCTACTACGGGTAATCTTCGTTCAGCTCGTGATCTCCCGCGGCGTATCTCTCGCAAGGCCGCAGGCCCAGGGCGTCTTTACAACGGCCCGAACACTGGTAACCCCAGCAGCACACCAACACAACGGCGCCAACCTCCCAATTTGAATTCGGAACTTCCCCGGGTTTAGGCCGGCAGTTCGACAGCCCTAGGTTGGCTAACAGTGGGCATCGGTTCGTAGGCCCCGTGTTCAGAGTGGTTATGAAGAGAGTAGGTGGCAGAGGAGGAACCGTGCAGACTCATCAAAGAGTCAACTGTTGCACTTCTGAATACCGTTTCCAGGCCCACGGTACGATCAGGGACATCTTTTCATATACCCTTCCACCCTATGACGAACATGAGCATCTTATCATAGTCCTTCACCGAGCGCCCAACACGATGCAGATCAGAAAGAAGTGTTGGGGGAGAGGAACGAGGCTATGTGGTGCAGGGTTTAGGGAAGCCTTGCCGCTGTGCCCACCTCTATGCTCTCGTGGGCTACTCCACGTGTCCATTTCTCATCGCCCCTCTTAATACGCACTGCGCGTTCCATTGCTATCAGGAGAAGTCCGCCGATCCGGCGTGTGAGTTCCTGAGAGCGTGGGCTTGAGCTCGCTCAAGCTTCGCTCTGGCGAGGGGGGGGGGGGGGCTGACGCGAGCTGACGGTTTTCCGGCCCCCCCCGGGACCCGGGACCCGGGCGCGCTCCTGGGAGGGTGGGGGGGGGGGGCTGACGCGAGCTGACGGTTTTCCGGCCCCCGGACCCGGGACCCGGGCGCGCTCCTGGGAGGGGGGGGGGGGGCTGACGCGAGCTGACGGTTTCCGGCCCCCGGACCCGGGACCCGGGCGCGCTTCTGGGAAGGGGGGGGGGGGGGGGCTGACGCGAGCTGACGGTTTTCCGGCCCCCGGACCCGGACCCGGGACGCGCTCCTGGGGGTGGGGGGGGGGGGGACGCGAGCTGACGGTTTTCTGGGAGGGGGGGGCGGGGGCTGACGCGAGCTGACGGTTTTCCGGTCCCCGGACCCGGGACCCGGGACCCGGGCGCGCTTCTGGGAAGGGGGGGGGGGGGGGCTGACGCGAGCTGACGGTTTTCCGGTCCCTGGACCCGGGACCCGGGACCCGGGCGCGCTCCTGGGAGCGGGGGGGGGGGGGAGGGCTGACGTGAGCTGACGGTTTTCCGGCCCCCGGACCCGGGACCCGGGAACCGGGCCCCGGGAGCCGGGAGCCGGGACCCAGGCGCCGGCCGGCCCCGGGACCCGGGACCGGGGGGCGGGCCCCGGGAGCCGGGACCCGGGCGCGCGGGGGCCGGCCGGCTCCGGGAGCCGGGACTCCGGACCTGGCCGGCCCAGGAGCCGGGACCCGGGCGCGCGGGAGCCGGCCGGCCCCGGGACCCGGAACCATGGGGCCGGGCCCGGGCCGGGCCCGGGAGCCGGGACCGCCAAGAGCTTGGGACCCGGGCGCGCGGGAGCCGGACCAATGCGACCCGACGCGAAGGGTCGGGCCCGGGAACTAAAGCCAGGGGCCCGAGCGCGCCGGGGTCCGGGCCAACCTCGGGATCCGGGACTCGGGGGCCGGGTCCGGGAGCCGGGAGCCGGGACCCGGGCGCGCGAGGGCCGGCCAGCCCCGGGATCTGCGACCCCGGGAGCCGGGACCAGGGACCCGGGCGCGCGGGCGCCGGCCGGCTGCGGGACCCGGGACCCGGGGGCCGGACCCGGGAGCCTCGACCCGGGACCCGCGCGCGCGGAGGCCGGCCGGGACCCGGGCGCGCGGGGACCGGCCGTCCCCGGGACCCGGGACCCGGGACCCGGGGGCCAGCCCCGGGAGCCGGGACCCGGGACCCGAGCGCGCGGGAGCCGGCCGGGACCCGGGCGCGCGGGGGCCGGCCGGCCCGGGACCCGGGACCCGAGCGCGCGGGGGCCGGCCGGATCCCCGGCTCCCCCAACCCGCGACCCGGGACCGACGCGGACCCGGCACCGGCGCGGACCCGAGACCCACGACGGGAGCCGGCCGGCCCCGGGACCCGGGACCATGGGGCCGGGCCCGAGCCGGGCCCGGGAGCCGGGACCGCCAAGAGCTTGGGACCCGGGCGCGCGGGAGCCGACCGGGACCTGGGCGCGCAGGGGCCGTCCGGCCGCGGGACCCGGGACCCGGGAGCCGGACCCGGGAGCCTCGACCCGGGCGCGCGCGAAGAGCAGAAGGACGAAGAGAAGAAGAGGGAGAAGTAGGAGGACATCGAAGCGGGAGAGGAGGAGCGAAAAGCGCACGAGAAGGAGGAAGAGAAACAAGAGGATGAGGGAGGAGGAGGAGAAGCAAGAGGAGGAGTAGGAGGATTAAGAGCGCCCCGGATCGGCGGCACTGGCCGGAGGCCACTACAATAATTCTAATGCAACTAGTTTGACAGTCCGGCGTGCTCATTGTTAGACGCTGCGGCCAAACGGCCAAAGTGAAGGCAACGCAAGAAAGAGGGAGAGATGGAGGAAGTCGACGAGGGGAAAGCGGAGGTTTCAGGGGGGGGGGGCGAAGGAGGATAATGAGAAGGACGGGGAGGAGGGAGCAGAGAGAGGAAGAATGAGATGGTTCAGGGAGTATGACGACTCTGGACTGGACTCTGCGCTGGGAGGCACCAATGTCAATGAGGTCGCGGTTGCAGGCCCGTGCGGAATACTCAAAGTGAGCGCCTTAAGAGCGGATGCCTCGCGGCCGAGAGGACACTAGGAAGGAGGGGGGAGGTGTGGGGTGAACGGCGGAAGAGGAGCAGGAGGGAGGTGGGCACGAACAGTAGAACTATCAGGTTAAGCAGGACAAAAGCGAGAAGCAGCAGCGGCGTGTGTCTGGTTTGTGTGTGAATGTGAATGTGAATGTGAATATGTCTCTATACATATATGTGCTTTGTGTGTGTGCGCGTGAGTGTGTGTGTGGGTGTGTTTGTGTGTTTGTGTGTGTGTGTCTGTGTGTGTGCAGGTATCTTCGTTGCTTGGCCATTGAGCTGAGTCTGTGCCAATTCGGCTGGCGGCATCACCGGGGTGGAGCGGTGGAGCGGGTCTCGCTTGACCTGTCTTCACTTGAAAATCGGCGGTACCGCATGTTGACGCCCCATGACGCAACGTCCGAATCCACCCGCAATCCCGATTTGGCGCTAGCAGTTGGCGCAGCTTCGATCGTTTTTTGTTTTAGTACCAGATTGGTGCTGCAGAAGCGTTGCACTTGCAATCAATGACTGGTGAATACCTTCGCGGATCCGTTGGTGACTAAAATGAGCTTTGCACCTGATGTCAATGACACCTTAGTGCGTTTGGCACTGCCGCATTTCTGTCTGAAACGTGGATGGTTTCTATATTCCGATTGTGTGTACGCGCGCTTGTGTGAGCGTGTGTGGGTCCAGGGGGGGAAGGGCGAGGCAAGTCTTCGGCCTCGTTTTCGGTTCAGCGACATGCGTCGATACCTTCTCGTTTCTGCCGACGAGCCAGGGTTTGTGGCTCGCTTTGCGGAGCCTCGGCGCGACTACGGCAGTCAACTAGCTCCCTGCGGCGCGTTGCTGGTCCATTTGCGCGTTTATCCTTTGCTTGATTTTGCGGCCCCGCTCGCTCCGCACTGCCTTTGATTCAAGAGGACACGGCCTCGGCTTTGACCCATCGCGTCCCGCTCCTCGTTTACGGAAACGTGTGTGTGTGTTTGTGCGCATGCTTGTGTGTTCTTGAAGGCTCAACCGCGTCCGCGCGCTTCGTTTCTACTTACGTCGCCTCGTGGCTGCGCGCGAGGCCGCTACCGCCAAAAAGTGCGTTTGCGCGTGCGCGCTTGTCTTTCTTCTGGCGAGCCAAACGGCACAAAGTCCGCATGGAACGGACTCGTCCTCTCGGTGGCACACCCAGGATTGGTGGCGAAGAAGATGACGGAGTAGCGCTCCTCGCCGCCGTATCCACGCACCCAGTGGACATAACGCCCATCAATCCGTGCCATACGATTGCGCGTGTCGACTACGAAGACCTGCTCGGGCTGGTCGCCCTCGACGCACAGCTCCCCGCCGCCCTCGAAGTCTCCCAGGCTTGCCGCGTACTGGAACGTGACGTCGGAGCCGTCGATGTGCGGGGAGCCCTGGAAGTCCTTCGTCACCGCGATGCGGTTGCAGCCGTAGGCGGGATCAGCCCACTCCAGCAGAACGGCCAGTAGCTCCATGAGCGCCTCGAAGCCGTCGTTGCGCTTGCCTAGAGGAGGAACGAGCGGCATGAACTCAAACTCTCGACGGTCCGCACGGACTTCTCGGACCTTCCCCGGAGCCCCCTCCCTGGCGTGCGGAGCGCGCCAAGAGCGGCGCGGGAGGCGCCGCCAGAGGGGCCCAGCGCAGCTCCAGGAAACCCGCGCGGAGCTCCGAAGGCTTATGCTTATGCAACTTGGTTCTTCTTCGACTGCCTCGCCTCGGAACAGCACCAGATACTGCTCCGCCTGCATGCCAGACCTGTGGTGCGTCGGCGGCCAGCGCGTCCGCCTCAACTCGGCGAGCAGGGGCAGCAGCAGCGCGGCGGGGATGGGCTGCCCAGCCACCCGGGTCTCCGCCCTCGGGTGCCGCCGGTAGAAGGCCTTGGCCGCCTCGACAAGCGAGCGACGAAAAGAAACGGGGCTCATGCGAGATGACATAGCGACCTTACTCCACGGCTTACGCGGGCCGCCAGCGCGGCATGCTACATTGGAGACGCGGGCGCTTACGCGCGACCTTGCGCGGGCAGCTTTCGCGCCAACGTTGGCGCAGATGGCCCTTTATTGCTGAGGCGCTCCAATGGCAGGAGAATCCAGAATCGAATCGATATGTCGGATCGGCGATCGAAATGAATCGGATCGGCGGAAATCGGCAGCCGAGACGGGAAAAGTCGATTCGGCAGAAATCGGCAGGCTAGTAGGCCTCTCTCGCTGAACAGTTAAAGCCCAAATCGGAATCCGAAGTCGAACCGAATCGGAATCGGTAGCCATCGAAATCGAATCGGAGGAATCGAAATGAACCCTGAATGGCGGGGAAGAATAAGCGACTGCGCAGATGCTGGGGTTGCGCGTGTCAGAACTGAAATCATGGCTGCGGTGGTTGGCCCAACTTGAACGGGGACTCGAGGGGCTGCCGCCTCCCGCCTGGTAGCGGATCCCAGTCCCCCGCGGCCAAGCTCCCCTCAAGCGAGCCCCACGGAGAGAGTCTCGATCCCCTCTGCGCCAGCGGCCCGCCGTAGCGTCACCAGATGAGCTACTGCAGAGACTGACAGCCATGGAACAGGTGGTCGATCGGCAGCAGACCCAGATAGAGCAGCCCACAGCACGGAGGCACACAGCAGAAGCTCAAACACAGCCCGTCCAACAACAACGGCAAGACAGCCTGGCGGAGACGAAGCAGCTGGGCAGGCTGGACAGTGCCAACGGAGAGCTCAACAAAAACTCAACTTATTTATCCCGGCAAAGCAACCTAACAGCGATGTGTAGGAGCATATCTGGAAGCATTCCCCTTAAGATTCTGATGAGAATCCAGTTGTAGAATTCTGCTGTTCTCGCAGTCGTAGTCGCATTCGCGAGGACAGTCGCAGTGGCAACGGCAGTCGCAGTCACAGCCTCAGCCTCAGCCTGCCTCAGCCTCAGCCTCAGCCTGCCTCAGCCTCAGCCTGCCTCAGCCTCAGCCTCAGCCTGCTTCAGCCTCAGCATCAGTCTGCCTTCAGCCTCGGCCTCAGCCTCAGCCTGCCTCAGCCTCAGCCTGCATCAGCCTCAGCCTCAGCCTCAGCCTGCCTCAGCATCAGCCTGCCTCAGCCTCAGCCTCAGCCTGCCTCAGCCTCAGCCTCAGCCTGCTTCAGCCTCAGCCTCAGTCTGCCTTCAGCCTCGGCCTCAGCCTCAGCCTGCCTCAGCCTCAGCCTGCATCAGCCTCAGCCTCAGCCTCAGCCTGCCTCAGCATCAGCCTGCCTCAGCCTCAGCCTCAGCCTGCCTCAGCCTCAGCCTCAGCCTGCTTCAGCCTCAGCCTCAGTCTGCCTTCAGCCTCGGCCTCGGCCTCAGCCTGCCTCAGCCTCAGCCTGCCTCAGCCTCAGCCTCAGCCTGCCTCAGCCTCAGCCTCAGCCTCAGCCTGCTTCAGCCTCAGCCTCAGTCTGCCTTCAGCCTCGGCCTCAGCCTCAGCCTGCCTCAGCCTCAGCCTGCATCAGCCTCAGCCTCAGCCTCAGCAGCATCAGCCTGCCTCAGCCTCAGCCTCAGCCTGCCTCAGCCTCAGCCTCAGCCTGCTTCAGCCTCAGCCTCAGTCTGCCTTCAGCCTCGGCCTCAGCCTCAGCCTGCCTCAGCCTCAGCCTGCATCAGCCTCAGCCTCAGCCTCAGCCTGCCTCAGCATCAGCCTGCCTCAGCCTCAGCCTCAGCCTGCCTCAGCCTCAGCCTCAGCCTGCTTCAGCCTCAGCCTCAGTCTGCCTTCAGCCTCGGCCTCAGCCTCAGCCTGCCTCAGCCTCAGCCTGCATCAGCCTCAGCCTCAGCCTCAGCCTGCCTCAGCATCAGCCTGCCTCAGCCTCAGCCTCAGCCTGCCTCAGCCTCAGCCTCAGCCTGCAGCCTCAGCCTCAGCCTCGCCTCAGCCTCAGCCTCAGCCTCAGCCTGCATGCCTCAGCCTCAGCCTCGGCCTCAGCCTCAGCCTCAGCCTGCCTCAGCCTCAGCCTCAGCCTGCTTCAGCCTCAGCCTCAGTCTGCCTTCAGCCTCGGCCTCCGCCTCAGCCTGCCTCAGCCTCAGCCTGCCTCAGCCTGCCTCAGCCTCAGCCTCAGCCTCAGCATCAGCCTGCCTCAGCCTCAGCCTCAGCCTGCCTCAGCCTCAGCCTCAGCCTCAGCCTGCCTCAGCCAAAGCCTCAGCCTGCCTTCAGCCTTGGCCTCAGCCTCAGCCTGCCTCAGCCTCAGCCTGCATCAGCCTCAGTCTCAGCCTCAGCCTGCCTCAGCATCAGCCTGCCTCAGCCTCAGCCTGCCTCTGCCTCAGCCTCAGCCTGCTTCAGCCTCAGCCTCAGTCTGCCTTCAGCCTCGGCCTCAGCCTCAGCCTGCCTCAGCCTGAGCCTCAGCCTGCCTCAGCATTCAAAATGTGGCCTGGAAATGGAATTCTGGGAACTCGAAGAACACGAAGTGGCCTTGTTGGCTCCGGGCATTCAAAATGTGGCCCGGGAATGGAGTTCTTGGAACTCGAAGAGCACGAAGTGGCCTACAGTTGGCTCCGGGCATTCAAAATGTGGCCCGGGAATGGAATTCTGGGAACTCGAAGAGCACGAAGCGGCCTACAGTTGGCTCCGGGCATCCAAAATGTGGCCCGGGAATGGAATTCTGGGAAGTCGAAGAGCACGAAGTGGCCTACAGTTGGCTCCGGGCATTCAAAATGTGGCCCGGGAATGGAGTTCTGGGAGGCCGAAGAGCACGAAGTGTGGCTGTTTGCTTAAAACGAGCCCGGCCCTCGCCTGTCCGGCTCCCGCCCGGACCCCCCTGGGGAGTCATCAGATGCTCTCTTTTGGCCCCATTAGAAACGTATCAGTCTTCGCTGTTAGGTAACAAGGATGGAATCACGTGGGGAGATCGGAGCCCAGTCCAGCTAGCATATTTTGCAGCGGTGAATCCGCACATGGCGGAGCGCATGAGTGAATCATCCCGTGCGAACGCTGAGGGGCACGAACAGGAGGACCTAGATGAGCATGACCAGCGAATCAAAACAAACCTGCAGTACATCCTGGCCCTGACCCACAAAAGAAAAGAAAAACACAGGGAATCGTGAAGAGCGCTTCACCTGGAGAACAACTGGAGGCATGGAGATCATTGCGTGTGGAGTTCCGAGCCGAAGCTCTCAGCCAGATTATCAGGCATGCAGGGCGCGACCTTGTACCCGACGGCGCAGAAACGCGACCCGATCAAAGGCATCGTGGCTGGGGATACCCTCGCTCAGAGATATAAGAATCAGACGAACGAGAGTCATGGCGTCAATCAAGAAATCAGTACTGAGCACGAAGATGGCCCCGAACAAGTTGCGGCGACATCCAATGCCAAACGCGACGAGGCTCACGACGCACAACATAGTCCGAACGGATGCCCTTACCTGCCTGAGGTTCCAACAGGCAGCGAAAGCATTCCAATGTCCTAAACCGACGGGCTTGGTCGCGATCGCGATCGGCAAGCACGTCAAGCATGGGACATGAAGCGCGCCAGAAGGAAGCCACTGTGGCAAGGATCTGCATGGCTACGGGCATCACGATCAGGAGTCCGCGCAGTTACTGTATCCAGAAAAGATACAAGCTAATGGGGCGCAGAAAAGAAAATCCAGAACTGACGCGACGGAAGGATCACGAAACAGCTGTTTGGGACAATCAACATAAGCAAAATGATAAGACGAAACCCGCGAATGGAAAGACAACGACTGAGAAGGAGTACAAGCAGGCTGAGGCCGATGTGGTATTAGGTTGGAAGGATGAGAGATGGTATAACGTTCAGAAGACTGATCGGGTCTTGCTTTAGGTACGATGGCAGATTGCTGCGTGCACAGTCAGTATCGGCAAATATGGCGCCGGCGTCTTGGCCCAAACGCCGACGGCGCGCTGGCTGCGCTCGCTGCACCCCTATTTTCAGAATCGAAAGGAGGGGGCGAGCAGAGCGAGCCGTAAGATTTAGGCTACACTTTGCGGATAAAGCCGCGCGAAGATTCCTATCAAGACGACTCAGGTCCAGCCAGCCAACGCCAGGCTTGGACCTGCGAAGAGGCGGCGCGCGCGATCCGGCATCGAGCCAGGATGGAGCCGCAAGGTGGCGGCAGGGGCTGGCCTGGCCAAATGCCAGCGGCAGCCTTGCGGCGCCCCTATGACAGAGGCCCGCGGACGCAGGCAGCGCAAAGAAAATACTATAATGCGACAGGCGTGGTGTTAAAGAAAGACGCGCTTGTCTCATCGCGCGCCCCTGCGCCAAGCGAAACCAGAAACCATTCCGCCGGCTCGTCGCGGGCCGGGCCCGACCTTCGAAGTCCGAGCCCTGTGAGGCGTGTGAGTCTTCAGCTCGCGCTCAAAAGATTGCGTTCCCGCCATTACTTGTAGTGACAAATCCCGTTGTATACTGCCTTCGGTACGTCCATCGGCAGTCGTACCCCGTGCATCACACCATTGCATTGTGTGTAAGATACGTCTGTCCATCATCTGCACATTCCAGCGGATGTGTGCTAGCAGAATGCACGATGCAGCCTTGCTAAGGTCCTTGCTGGACAAGGATTTGAATGCCGACTCAGCATCGATGGTGACGGTAGCTTTGGTACAGAGACAGCCCATGTCAATCATATGTTTGAGTCGCGCGGGTGTAAGCGGTCCCGCTTTTAGCTCGTGTAGGGCAACGATGGTCGGGTAGCAGCACTCTACGTTATCTATTTTGTGGGCTGCTGCGAGCGTCTCCGCAGAGTGGCTTGATCTTACCGGCGGTCGATGCGACTTGCAGTAGGCACCGATCAAACGCGCGACCGGTTTGCCCGTTGCGCGTGCGTCCGCGACGGAGTAGGTTGGCACTTCGAACGCCGTGCCAATTCATCTCGTCCTCGGCATCCCCAGTCAACCGTCGATGACGGAAGTCGCTGTGCAGTTCGACCTCCCTGGT